TTTTGTTCTTAGTATTTTGCACACTCAATATATGCTTTCTTTCTTAATTTGTACCTTAATCAATTTTTTAATTAACTTGCACTCGATACCGGTCGATTTTTGTGTTCAATTTTAATAAAATAATATATAATTAGATTTATAAATAGCACTACATCTTAAGTTTTACCGTAGCATTACATCAATGATACACTTTATAATATATTTACTTACACACTAAGTGAATCATAGCATGTTGGATACAAAGACTATATCAATTGCACTCAATCAGTTATATATATATAGTGTTTATCATCTGTATGCTTTCGTATAAATTACACTTCATATTATGTATACGTGTAACATATTATAATAAAGTATATGATTTTATTTCATTTATGATAATTTACACTTACACATATATGACAAGCGTTGATACTTTATTTTCAACTGTTCATTACATTTCTCGAATGCTTGATCGATGAATAAATAAGAAAAGAAATCTTGAAGTTTAAGTGAATATTTTAAATATTTTATTTATCATGTACCTGCATTATTAATTTTAAGTTTAATTGACTAGATGCTCCGGTATAATGAGTGACTATATGCTCCAAGATGTGTACAATCGACCGAGTCTTGAATATTTTATTCTCGATCACCTTATTAGTACTTTGATAGGATACTTCATCAATGGATCAATTGAAAATTAAATTATATTCGATTAAAACTTACTATAACACATTTAAAAATAAAATATACAGTTCTATAAGATGTAGTACTATATTAATACTTAAGTTGCAGCAACAACAATATATACTCGGTCAAATCACACGATTGAGGAATATATATGTTGTTGTTGCTACAACTTAAGTATTAATATAGCACTACATCTTATAAAACTATACATTTTGTTTTTAATGTGTTATAATAAGTTTTAATCGAATATAATTGAATTTCCAATTGATCCACTGATGAAGTATCCGAGCAAAGTAATAATAAGGTGATCGAGAATAAAACATTCAAGACTCTCTCTGTATATGTGTATATATATATATATATATATGTGTGTGTGCGCGCGCGTGTGTATATATATGTGTGTGCGCGTATATATATATATAATTTATAAGTGGTTGACCATTTTTGATCACTAATACTGACCGAAATCGGTCAGTAACTTCATAATAATTTTAAAAAATTATTTTTGTTATGAAAAAAAAAACAATTGACCCTAGGCGGGAAAAAATAAATTAAAATTTTTTGACCAATTTCGATCGATATACTTGAATTTTCTTAATTAAACTTTTTTTGGTAGATAATATGCAAGTCTGACCTGGTTTTGATCAAAGATTGACCATTTTTTGATCGACATCGATCGAAATTTTTATATATGTTAGACATAGTAGTATTTCTTTATTGTGGGACAAATTTTTCTGACCGATATTGGTCGTTATCTTTGTGTGAAATTTTTTATTTGACTTTTGCGACCAATTTACATATTTTTCGATCGATGTTGGTCGGTTTCTTCTTCCGACCGATTTTGGTCGGTAGACGTTTTTTGACAGTTTTCTAGTAGTGAAAAAAGGCAGCAGCCCGGTGCACAAACTCAATTATAAATTATATATTTTCTTACTTTAATTTTCAATTGCTAAGGTCAAATTACTTGATTTAATATAAATATGAGACATATGCAAATATTTAGATATAGAATATCATAATGGAACCTTGTTTTGTTGGTTTCCTTTTCTCTTCTTTTTTTTTTTGGGTAATGAGAAATCTCATTTCCCACTCTTGCTCTCTTACTCCCTCCGTTCCAATTTATGTAAATCTGTTTGACTGGGCATGGAGTTTAAGAATAAATGAAGACTTTTGAAATTTGTGATCCTAAACAAGTCAAAAAGGGCCCTAGAGTATTTGTGTGGTTATAAAAGTTTCTCAAGAAAAAATGAAGACTTTTGAAATTTGTGGTCCTAAACAAGTCAAAAAGAGGCCCAGAATATTTGTGTGGTTATAAAGCTTCTCATTAAGGGTATAATTGTAAGCTTAAGCAAAATTGTTTCCAAATTTAGAAAGGTATCATTCTTTTTGGAACGCATCAAAAAGTAAATAGGTTCACATAAACTGAAACGGAAGGAGCATGTTTTACCCAACTTAAAAAATAATGGACTCGGCCCTGTGGTGGGAGCTGAGGAGAAGGCAAAGGGAGTACGGCAGCATCACGATGGTATTGCATCATCATTTGCTAAACTTTGAAAGAAGAAAAGGTGTCCAAAATTCATGTGGAAATTGGACCATAATCTTTGACTAAAACATTTGTAGTAATCCAACTATACATCCAAAATCTGACTAATTAATAATACTAGTCTCCCAAATCCACATTTTACAAGGCTATTATGTGTTCTCGTCATGCTTTTGCTCTTATGACGCCAACTATGAGTGGACCACCCCCTCTTGATATTCAGGAAGAGAACACAAGTATAATTGGTAATGTAGGAAAGAGGCTAATGATCATAACGTACAAGCTTTTATTCTAGTTGATTGGACCCATTTGATTTCCCTAACTGCCATTTTTTTCCCCAAACATTGCAAAAACCTCTTCATTTATCTTTCTTTAATTTTCAAGAAAAATTACTTTCAGCCGAGAGTCTATCAAAAATAGTTTTTCGATCTTCATAAGGTAGGATAAAGTTGCTTACATACTACTCTCTCCATACCTCATTTATAAAATTACACTCGATTAATTGATGTAATTTTGAAGAGAAAAAGGGTGTTGGATGTGGAAATGGGGTAATAGGATGGAAAATATAGGAGATTGTCACATATACACATAAGTCGCTGTTGGTTGGAATGCTCTAAAATTACTCCACTTATATTATAGTTCATAAATTCATTTTCGTAGCATTAATCTCAAATTTCGGTAAATCCATCACCAAGAATATATTTTCGGGGGTCTATTTTAACCCCTTCTTTGGTCTTTTGAATTTAATATATTTGCTTACATCAAGTTACACTTTAATCTGTCAATCTTTTTCAAAAGTCAAGTCCAACAACAACAACAACAACATATCCAGTATTATCTCACACTGTGGAATCTGGAGAGGGTAAGTGTGTATATAGACCTTACCTCTATCTTGTGAGGATAGAGATGTTGTTTCAAAAGTCAAGTCCGTCAAAAGAATTTTAAAACGAAGAAAAGAAAGAAAAATGAGTATACATGTCTCACTGAGTTTCTTAATTCTGTGATCTCAGATGAACTCTCCCACACCCATCCAAAAAGTAAATAACGAAATAAAAAAAAGAGATTTAATCACAACTTGGAATTTAGGTTAAATCTAAAGGTGAAATGATAACACTATGTTAAAAGTGTTTTTTTTCTTCAAAAAAGGTGCGCTTTTCCTCAAATTTGAGGTGTTTGGCCAAGCTTATTTTTTGAAAAAAAAATATTTTTGGCTAGAAGCATAAACAGTTTTGAAGAAGCAGAAAAAAGTAATTTCTCTCCAGAAGCAAAAGCAGAAGCAGTTTTGACTTTTCTTCCTACCAAAAATACCCTTTGCAAAATATTATATATACCAAAATAACCTTACTTAGTTTAAACTATTAAGTAATATAAAATGACTTTTGGGATGAACTTTCATATTTATTGGATGATTTTTTGATATATTTAAATTATCTTGAAAGAATAAGTTCTTTTCAATTTTATTTTTATATTTTACTTAAATAAAATAAAAAACTTAATTATTATCTTTAATAATAAATATTTGCAATTATTTATCTACTTATATAATATTAACTATTAAGCAAATCTTTTCATGTACTTATTTGTAATTTGACACATAAAAATACTTTTTGAAAAGTTTAGCCAAATACAAATTATTGTTCAAAAGTACTTTTTAAATTGATTAGCCAAACACAAACTGTTTTTCTCCAAAAATATTTTTTTTTAAAAAGCACTCATCAAAATAAACTGATTTTTCCAATTTAGTCAAACAGGCTATAAGACATTATTGTTTCGGCTTCTAAAATATATTTATGCAACTCACTCTTGTCTTGTGCTTTTGTTGTTTTAATGATAATATAATAGAGTTTACGATTTGTGCGCTTTTATTTAGGTTAAATTGACATACCAAAGTAGATAGCTAATTTTTTCTATTAAATCTAGTATGACATCTTGAAATGTATGAATATTGTTTTAAAGGTTTAAGAGCATCAACCGTAATTTTTACACCATCAGTACCTTATTTTTCAAGTTTTACATACATAATGGAGGAGTCAGAAAATTTGATAATGGATTCCAAAAAATCCAAACATGTCATAGGGAGGATTTAAATATTTATTTCTCTTATGTCAAAGAGATTCAAAATTCTTTTTATGTAAATTTTTTATTTTTACCCCTTAATTGCATGTGGCATCGACTGATCATAATTCATATCTGCTTGTTATAAATAATTATAAAGTATTACAAGTAACTTAACCTGATTAATGTCTAATAATGTTAAATTCTATGTTTGTTGCACTTGCATGCAATTTAAAATGAGTAATAGATAGTATGTTTATTTTGGAATGGAAAGCTGAAAACTGGGGGCGAGCTCATTTCAAGCTTATGAGTTCGATTTTCTAGGCCTTTTAATTATTGATTTATAACTAATTAATAAATTTTGTAAGACGAATATAGAGTTTGAATCCGAGTTACTGGGTTCGCCGAACGATATGTTTGAATAATAGGGAAGTAAAAATGGGACCACTAAAGGATGTGGTGCAGTGGATGGGGATGTTTCTCCCTTAACCAGAGGTCTCGAGTTCGAGCCCTGGGTATGGAAAAATCTTTGGTAGGGAACGTTACCTCTCGAATGGGCCCAGCGCGAATACGGATATAGTCGGACTCCAATGCGGGTACCGGATACCGGATGGGAAACCAAAAAAAAAGGGAAGTAAAAATGGGGAGACATCACGAAAACGCTATGCTGACGTGAGAATCGAATAGAAAAAAGAAAGAAAGAAAGAAAGAAAGAAAGAAAGAAAAGCAAAGGGTGCCTGCATCTCAAGTAAAGGAAACTCCCTCTTCCTTTCATATTTTTGACAATTCGCTAACTTGTTATAACGAACGGAACACCTCCTTAAACCATCCCTATAAATTGCTAGCTAGCAAAAACCTCTCCAGAGTCCAGTCACCTCACAAACAAAGACAAGTTTTCTAATTTGCATTTTAGACAAGACAGAGATATGTCATTGGTAAGAGAATCGCGCTCTATTACTAGAAAATTTTTAGCAAGGCCTCAGCAGGAAGGTCTTGGTGCTGTTGTTAGAAGAAGCATTGGAAGGTACTCCGATCGATCCTTTTTGTTATGTTTTTAGACCGAACATATCTAAAGTTCAAACTAGCTTGATTAAGTTCAATCTTTAACATTTTTATACAATACTGGATACAGTTGAATCGTACTGCATTTGCCTTTGAACTTTTCATAGTAATTAACGTATCTTCTATTTCCTCTCTCAGGTTTGAGTTGAGATACTTTGATCCTTTCCTTGTTTTGGATGAATTCTCAGGTATGTTTAAATTCTTCGATTCACTTTTTTTGGCATTTTATCCATACGTTTGTTACCTAAAATCTTTCTCTATTTTTTGTCTAATAATTAAAATTACAGTTTCTGCACCAGCTGGTTTTCCTGATCATCCACACAGAGGTAGCATTCTAATCATTTGTTCTGATTATTTTCTTCAGCCTAAAATTTGCAATTTTTCACGGCAAATTAATGTCTTTGGATTCTCATCACTTTTTTCTCTATTTTTACAGGCTTTGAAACAGTCACCTACATGTTGCAGGTATTTAATTGACAATCTTCTGTATCTTTCTCATTACTTGCTTTTGCCCTTTAATGAAAATAATAATAAAATAATTATATGCGATAACTATGCTATTATAAGTCTCTTTCAAATGCTATTTGTGTACATTGTCAATGGCTGCTCCACTTAAACCATTCAAAGGAAAGGACTATATTAGTTTCCACATCCACATTTTAGAAACGGAGTAGTTGAATAGATGTGATTGTCCAACTTAGAAGAAAGCAACATATGCATATATATATTACATACTTGTTTAGGATTATTGAAAAAATAAATATCTTAATTACTCCCCTGCGCTGCTTATGCACGGTCAAATAAGAAAAAAAGTATTCTTGGTCATGACTAGTGGCTTCAAATTTCATTCTAATTATTAGGCATTTAACTTATATTCATTGTAAGTGTAAATATATTTTGTGGATGTCAATATAATTTAATTAACCTATTGTAATAACTTACTGTCAATGTGACTAGTTCCACAAATTATTGATAGTCTGATAATGAAAAAAACTCTTACATTATCGGCGATAACAATTAGACTCAATGTGTCACTATATGCAAAAAAGAAAGTAGTTACTTTAAACTGTTAAATACAAGCACATGTTTTTTGTTTTTTTGGTGTGTGTGTATCCTAATATTCATGATCTAGACTTATTTAGGTAAACAACTTTTATATGTTAATCATAGTAGTTGAAAAGCAAGTTATTAAAATTTTATTAATACAACAGGGAGCTGTGACGCATGAAGATTTTGAGGGGCGAAAAGGTAGAATAGAAGCAGGTGATTTGCAGTGGATGACTGCTGGAAAGGGAGTTGTTCATTCAGAAATGCCTGCACCTCACGGAACTCAAAAGGGTTTACAATTGTGGATTAATCTCTCCTCCCAGCACAAAATGTAAGTGATTTTTTTTTTCTATTCATTGGAATAGATTGTCATTTTTTGTGATCATTAAAGTAACACAATTTTACCCAACTATAGCATTAAATTCATAAAGTTGTTTTTCAACAAATTAAAATAACTGTACTAACACCAATGACCGGAATATCAAATTCCACCTAAAGAAATTAAATGAGAGAATATAATGAAATCCACTTTGCTAATATTTTGATTATCCATTTTTAATAACAGGATAGAGCCAAGGTATCAAGAGATATCAAGCGAGAACATAGCAGAAGCTGCAAGAGATGGGATAAAAGTGAGAGTTATAGCAGGGGAAGCATTAGGAGTGAAATCAGCTATATACACAAGAACTCCAACAATGTATTTGGATTTCACTCTAAAACCAGGATCCCATCTTCAACAACCAATTCCTAAATCATATAACGCATTTGTATATATCTTAGAAGGTGAAGGTACTTTTGGCCAAGATTCAACAACTTCACCTATATCTGCACATTATTTGCTGCTTCTAAGTGGATTTGGTGATGGACTTGTGGCATGGAATAAGGGCTCAAAAATACTAAGGTTTATATTAGTAGGTGGAGAACCATTGGGTGAACCAGTAGCACAATTGGGACCTTTTGTGATGAATACACAAGAAGAAATTGACCAAACGATTGAAGATTTTGAGAATTATACTAATGGTTTTGAGAAAGCTAAGGACTGGAGATCTGAAGCCAGAATTGAACTTGGTTATTAATTACTACTAGTAGTACACACTACTTTTTATCGTTCATTCTTTTGTTTGTTGTTATCTTCTTTTCCTTGTTTTCATGCATATCTTTAGGTATAAACAAAGTTCTTTTGACATGAGAGGGAAACAGATGGTGTCATGTTGCCTATGTTTCCAAATGAAGAACCCCATGTTTTTTGTGCTAATAATTATGCTCATATTTGCATGTCCCCGATGAACAATAATGCTTATAGAAAGAATTACCTAACGTTTTTCGGCTTTCAAATTTAATCTTTGTTCATACCAAGTTTATTAACTGTTATGTCACGCTCTCGGGTGTTTACAGGTATGTCACTCTTATAATAAGAAATAGATAAACAGATTTAACCAAAAAAAATTTAAAGCAACGTGGGGAAGATTTCTTTTTCTTTTTCATATTAATATTAATAATATTAATGCAACTTACAGCCCCACCTTGCCTCAAAAGGAAAAAAGAATATGAATTAAACATAACGTTCCCAAGTAACAGAGTTATGCACACTTAAATGCTTCTTTGTGGAAAACATTTATTCTACCCAAAGATCATTGATTGATACTTTATGGGAACGTTAATTTATTTGCTCTTTATGAGGCTTGGCACAATCTTAGGTGGACTGGATGGCAAGTGGTATGGTCAGATATTAGCATTACTTTACTCCATTAGCTATAGTCACTATCCCACGACATGCAACTTGAGAATGGGACGGGAATGGCGAAATTTAATGTTTCCACTAAAAGTGTGTTTGGTATAAAGGAGAATATTCTTCATAAAAAATAAGTAATTTTTTCACTTAGTGTTTGGTTAATAACAATAAATATTGTCCCAAAAGTATTTATATATATGGGACAGGGTGGGTGGGGTTGGATGTCGGGGTTGGAGAATCTAGCATTTCTTGAATATGAGTGCATCACTAAAAAAGTAAAAAAAAAAAATTAAGTGGGAATTGATTCATGTTCCTCTAGGTAAATAATCCAATATTCAACCAAGTATACTATTAAGTCTTTTTGGAGCATATGAGTCAACAGAAAATATTAGACCAATTCTAGAAAATACGTACATAAAATACCTAGTTTGATGGAGAGACTATGATTTCACGTGTCCTATAATTTGGGTTATAAATCCACACCTACTGGGGAGGTTGGGTTGGGGGTGTTGGGTGGGGCCGAGGGAGGGGGCGATGGCGGTGAGGCAGGGCCGAGGATGAGAGGTGGGTCAGGATTCGAGACCCGTGGCTGGATGGGGCGAGTGGTGTCAGGAGTGATGGTGATTCTAGGTGGCGAGTTGATTTTTTTTTTTGGGGGGGAGGGGGAGGCAAGAGTTTATATAAATACTATTCTTTTTCTTTGTAGGGGAAGGAGAATTATTTTTCTTAAATTGGAGAAAATAAATTCATAAGATAATTATTTTCTCAAATATTTAAGCAAATCAAACATAAGAAAAAGTTTGAAAATATTTTTTGAAAAATCATTTTCTCCGTACCAAATACACCACAAATGGAAAATAAGGTTGTTTGGATAAAACAGAGAAAGAAGGTATTTAACAAACCTCCTTTCTTTGTTTGGTGAGTAGGAAAAGTATAGAAAAAGTTAGATATAAATTTAATTCTAGTCCCACTATTCTATCTTATTTTTCTGATATTTTTTTCTTGTGCGTTTGTTGAGATTAGTGTAAATGGTGTTACATAACACATGTTGGTTAGTAGTATTTTAGTTAGTAGTATTAGTTCATTTTTTGTATTGAGCCTCGAAGCTCACTTTGTATTTATTTCGGGGAAAAAAAATATAATTAGTCAATATTCAAAAAAAAAAATCAGAATCCTAGCAAGAATTAGTAATTAACTAACTAGCACCTAATTAATTATAGTCCTGACCAAAACATATAATGCTGGACCAAAAATTAAGTTTTCACATGTGTGAATAGATTCTAATCAAACAAAGGACCGAAAATCAGTCCTATTAATTACCTAAAATTAGTCCTATTAATACACATCTTTACCAAAAAGTTTGATCAGATTATACAGTACAACTCATTTAATTACCTCCAACACACATCTCTCTTCTAAAATTAATGTCACAACCAAAAAGCATATATGTACGAATCCTCCAAAGGAAAGTAGTACTTATTTTAATTTTTTAGTTGTTATTTTCGTATATAGTAATAAAATATAATTAGATTAATGAAATATTATAAGTATTTTATGGATATGTAACTTAAAGTTATTTCCATAGTAAATGTGTTTGTTTCAATATCCTTATAGTATATTTATACAATTATATGTTATTGTTTGTACATAATGTACATCAACTATAAATTTAAAATATATCACATATACGGAGTATATATTTTAAATGTCAAATATACTTAAAATATATATTGATCTCATCAAGTATATATAATTATACATTAAATATATATAATACATATATTGAATATGTATATTTGTTTATGCGTTATGTATACAAAATTATACGTTGCATTGACATAAAACGAGTTCGGTATAGGCAAATATACATAATATATTCATTACATATGTATATATTTAAAATTACATTGTAAGAAAAATATCATATATGTATATATACACCTTCGAACATGGAATAAAAATGTGAATTTACTTAGACTGTGTTTGATATAATAATGAAAAAGGGGATTCTAAGAGCGAAAACTTTAATAAAAATGGTAAGTATAGATTAATGATGGAAGAGAAATACGGATAAATTAATATGGTTAAAAATTAATTCCTTAAATTGTGGACTATGTTTAAAAATTTGAAGAGTACTAAATGTACATGATTTTGAAAAAATATTGTAATTGTAAATGAATGTGCTCTTTTTGGAATAAAACAAAATTAATGATCTTTATTTAAATATTATTTAATAAGTAACTGACAATGTAAGAAACTCTTTATTCAGATGAGTAGTAGTTTAGAGGTGAATTGAGGTTAATAGTTTGGGCCAGACGGGTCCGTATATATATAGAGAGGCCCACATATGTTGTAAACCGGACGATTATTTTCATTCTAACAAGTAATAAGAAAGCCCCAATTTCTCTCTGAGTTCTCTTAACCCTAACCATGGAATCTTCAATCTCTATCTCGATTATTAGTCTTAACATGGTATCAGAGCTAAGATCCAATTAGGGCTCGTGATTTCCTCTCGTCCGATGTTACCCTCGAGGTTTTTCGCTGGAGTTTTCGTTCCCGATTCTCTTCACTGTGGTTGACCAATTTTTGACGGAATTTTCCACATTTTTCGTCAATTTTTACATTTTGTTGCTGATTCCTCTCACGTTATGCTTTATCTCATCGACCACACTGTTTTTCTTCAGCTAATTTTGATTTTCCTCAAATTCAAGCCAAAGCTAGGGTTTGGTGGTCGTTATTTCATCAACGGACTATCGAATTTTATTCAATAAACAAGGTTGTTGTTCTTTCCGGTTCGCGAAGAAAATTGGTAACTTTCCTTGCTTGTAGATTGCATGCATAGTATCGGTTGATATTCCTTTCTTTATATTTTGAGAAAATGCCAAACGACAATTCCTCTTCCCCTATCCTGTCTACTTCTAGACCTGCATCTTCTCGCTCTGTTTTCCATGAGGATGACTATACCCATCCTTGTCATTCTCTGTATGTTCATCCTTTTGATATACTAGGAACCTCTTTAGTCTCAGTGCCATTTGATGGTACTGGGTATGAGAGTTAGAGACACACTATTTTAGTAGCCCTCTTTGTCAGAAACAAACTAGACTTTGTCAATGGAGTCTTTGTTAAACCTCCTTATACTTCTCCCCTGGCGAGACAATGGCAGAGATGCAATGATTTGGTGGTTTCATGGTTAACCGATTCCTTGTCTAAGGACATAGCTCGTAGTGTTGAGTATTATGAGCTTGCCAAGGATATTTGGGGGGGAGTTGGAAGAGAGATATGGTCAAGCTGATGCTGTCAGAATTTTTGAACTTAAAAAGGAGTTAGCCCATATCCCACAAGGCTCTCTTGACATTGCATCCTATTTCAATAAGATCAAGCAACTCTGGGATAAGATTGTTGCATTATCAGTTATTAGAATCAGGACATGTAGTAATTGTGGTGCTAAGTCTGATTATCAGAAGGATGAGGATGTCCAAAAAGTCTACCAGTTTCTGATAGGTTTAAATGATACATACATACATATTAGGAGCAACATTTTCATGATTAAACCATTTCCCTCTATAAGTATTGTTTACAACATCTTACTCTCGGATGAGAAACAGAGACAAGTTTCCAGTTCTCCTCAGTTTCTTCCTAGATCTGCTTCATTTAATGCTGGTGTATCCAAATAAGTCTACCCTTCCAGAGTCAATTTTGATTTCTCTAAGCCCCCAACCTGTAAATACTGCAAGAAACCAGGTCATACTATTGATAAATGCTATAAGTTTTATGGTTATCCTCCCAACTTCAAGTTTACTAAGGGGACTGTGTTACGCCCTATATTTTCGTAAATAAAACTGCGTCGTGAGCAAACTAATGTAGGACCCAAAGAAATGAGATCATCTTTAAAAATATATAAAATAAGTTAATCATGTTACCTTGGAAGTTACAAATATTGAAGATCATGAACAACAAGTACAAAGAGGGTTGGAAGGTTTAGAAGCTAAAGGAATTGAAAAATATAATGTTTCGTCGAAAGCCGACAAATTGGGAATGTTATAGCATGTACTTTTGGGATGAGACCATGGTGTTTTACATAATAAGGAGGTTATGTTACGAGTTATGTTATTTGTATGATAGTCGTGTATTATGTTTTGAAGTCAAGCGAGTGGTGGAACAAAAGTCGATGAAAGTCATCACAAGTTACGTTCATAAGTTTTACTGAAACTTTTGGTCAAATATAACTGAAATTTTCTCCCAATATACTTAGAGTTATGGGGTATTCCACCTATCACATTAAAGATCTATGAGTCTACTTTCGAACGCATTAAACTGTTTGTCAATACGATATCTGAGTAGAGAGATATGGGTATTTTTGCGAGACTGCGCAGACTGTCACCTACTTGCTTAAACGAGAATCCAAAACTGGGCCTGTTCGGGTCGTCCAAAAATGGGCCTGTCCGGGTCGTTCAAAGAGGCCTTTTTAAAGTCCTATCCCCTTCATATATTAGTCTGATAATAGGGCAAAATAACTAGACTCATTCTCTGCAAAACTCCTCCCAAATATTCCCCCCAAACCCCAATTGATTTTCTCCCCCTTTCA